GGACGAGTGTTCCCATCCCACCACCTCCGCCTGACTCTCCCCATGGAAGCCCTTTGATTGGCTGCTTCTCCCTTCCTGAAAATTGTATGATTAAATATTCAATAAAAAGGAAGTAAAGATGAAAAAAGAAAAAGATAGACAGATTTTCTTTCTTCAACTTCAAATCCTATTCTCGCCTTTGCCGATGACAATTACCTACATTCGTTTGTATTCTATGCCTCTTCGCGCATCACTAACTCCAACATTAGTGACGACTGCTCCTCCTTTAGTTTCCCCCTAAATTCAGACGTGGGCTTTATTTCTGCTTGGGGCTGTCGCCAATGTCTCCAATGCCAGCAAAACTTCCCTTATGTCCATTTCGCTTAAGCGCGCATCTTTCTCCCCTTCCTTGAATTTTAACTCGAATATTATCCGTCGCCTCAACAACCCGCCCCTAGCATGTAACTTGTAGTTACTAGCTCACCGTTGGGCTATCGATACTACTTTGGATTTTGCTCCAATGAACTTTCCGCTTCTGTCCCTCTCCCACTTGTTCTTCCTCGTAGATCCCACGCACAAGCGGCTAGCCACCCATTTCCAGTCACCATCCAAAGGTGTCCCAATTCTCACTTTCAATCACCTTTTTCCCCTAGAACAGCACTACTGTGGAACATTCTCCCCCTTCGTCCTTCCAACGTACAACATCTTTGTCTTTAAACGCAAAATCAACAAGCCTGTTCTAGCTGGAATGTTCCCCATACCTTCCCACTTACAGTATATCTTTGGATCATGGAGGATACCTCTTTTACTGTATTCACTGTCGTGTAATAAAACAATTCAACTTTCACAACAGCAATTGTTTGACACGCGCTACCGCAAATACAGCCGCAGGCCCTGAGGTGGAAGCATTTGATTTTGTAAACAGCCTATCACAATGGATCACCTTCCTCACCCGTATCCCATCTTTGCACGGGTGCTAATGCATCATACTTTGGTCACCTCAGCACTGTACACGATAAAATCCCTCCGTATAATAGTGTCAACTCCTCCTTTACCATAATTTCACTTATTTATTCCAGAGGTGATCATCACGCAACGATTTGGGGAGGTGTGTCCAGCACATCTGACCAATCGGATCGAGTACGTACCGATTTGTGAAGTTCACACAGTCCAACTGACATGTGATTGATTACCTCACATGACACGATCCGTTGGCAGTTGGAGGTCTTGCGGAAGTCGATTTTATTTGCACCACTCCTGGTGGTTGAGTTGAATTCGACAGCCTCCTCAATTGTGAACGATTTGGCTTGAGTGTTCCTTTTTGCGGGGCAAGTTCACCGTGTGATCACGTGAATGTCTCAGAATGACCTTCCAGCATTCACAGTGAGGTCAGTATAAATGAGGTGTGCTCGAACAGGGCTCAGGATTGTAGTGGGGTCTTCAATTTTAGGCCATACTGGGTTATGGTATTTGATTCCTTTACTCAACCGCCGATACAACCGGATACACAGCTCCAGGTTGAAATCTGGTTCACAATATTATGCGGTCTTTGAGTGTTTGAACAAAAAATCTAGTAGACCAAATAAAACGTCCACTATTCGGTGGCATAGGGTGTTCCGTAATACTCTATAGAAACGTTTCTTCTAAAAAGTTCCACTGATGCCGTCGTTTGTGAAGGTTTATGTGAAGAAACATTGTCCTTTCCTAGGATTGTGGAGATTACACTATTTCCAATCTTCGAAAATATTTTTAAACCAACATTTTTTTCTCAGGCAATAAATCTAACTCAATTTTTCAGATCATTCTGTTATGACGTTACTGATAACGTATCTAATTGCGTTGGGGGTTTATAGGTTGAAGCCTACTTATACTTCAGTCTAAATATTCGTTCCTTATGTGTCCTTGGACTAACATGTCAATAAATGGAATTCATATATTTGATTTCCCATTTCCAATGTGAATTGTATAGCTTTGTGCATCTGACTAAATTGGTAGTCAGAAGCCGTACGCGTGTCATTGACATCATCTTTCAAATTCGATTGATCGCAAATGTCCAGAAAATGTAACGCGCATCTCCAGGATAGGCGTCATCACGTAGCCCTGGATCATCACACAAAAATCGATCTTCATTTTATAGATATTATCATTTCCCTTGTTACTTTCCAAATTTCCCATAACAATACCTGAATGTTTTGGATCCTACACTACTCCCTCAACTTGATGGAAATTTTTTCGTTGCATCGGAATGATTTAAGTTCGCCACAAGGTGGGCCATTTGTGATATGAAATAGCGATTTCAGTATCTATTTCAAGCTGTTATATAATCACAGCTCTGCATGGAGCATCACAGTCTCCTATCCCTTGTGCTATGGTTCAGTTCAGTAGTCATCACTAATGTAAGTGTACTGGTCTAACCTGTTGATTTACCTAAACAGTACCCATATGATTGATTATGCTTTGTTATGATATTGCTATTTTCATTAAAAAAAATTATGATGGACGTTTTCTCCGCGGTCGCGAATTTTTTTCGAGTGGAATTTTGTGATGAGTATGACCTTGAACGATTGCATGGAACATAATGTAATCCTAAGTTATTAATTTTTTGTAGTAAGAATTTCGATTAGATTATCATACGATCACAGAGAGTAAACGATTTCGTTCGCGGTTCTTGGTCAACTAATTAATTAGAGCGCATTTTCTAAGTACTATGGGTGCAAATAAAAGGCATACGAATAGATTCTTGTCGGCGTTAGGACTTCATGCACCTTATTTCTCGGTGTGTGGCTGGTGTCAGTTTCTGTCCAATTATGATCGCTTTTATCGTGAATAGGATATTAATCTTTATCTGTTTCGATCTGTTGGAAATATTCATTCACGTTAACGAGGTTAAATGAGGTTTGTCAAATCATTGCAATGATTTCGATCGTTCCGGTTGGTCTGGGAAGTCTAGGTTAGTGGCTTCTAAGACAATGGGACATACGCTTGACGGTTCGACCCACAATATGAAGTAATTCCCAATATACCGGAAGGCATCGTGTGCATAGGCTAGTTGTGTTTCGGTCTGTAGGCAAAAAGAATTCACGAGAGTTAGAAGAAGCAACCTGATCATCGGATTCACAGAGTTTAACTCGTTCGTGATGACCTCATCCACTCTATACATTTATTCAGATCACTTGTCCCTGTATCTCTCTCTCTCTCAATAAGACATGGTCTGAATGTATGTACACAGCAGCTGAAATTCGCTGGAGTGAGTTGAATTCAACACATCCTTTGAGTCTATTCCATCTCCTTGATTTTATGAAACTAATAAGGGGAATTGAATGCATGAGAGAATTCGTTTTGGGGGTTGAACAAAATACCAGGTTCGATTCTTTGATTAACTGAATATATGACGATGCCGCCTGTGTAGTGGATGGAAGAGCACACAGGCCTGTTTTCACTGACTCAGATAGTTGCCATTTATACAGTATACTGAATGATCCCGTTTATGCATTAGTCAGAGGAATATCACCTTTAAACTCGTCGTAGTTCAATGTCAGTTATGTCTGCTGGACATGATTTGTCAAAGAATTGATTAGTTAACGAAATATGTTTACTTTTTGCCTCAGTAGGTAATTGGTTTGGTATTGATTGTATTGCCCTGTCCCTATTTCCTCATGATAGGCCGTTTTTTAAAGTAAACCACTCAGACCCGATTGGGCTTAAACACAGATATCAAAAGGATTATTTATCTAAATCTATATAGTGGATCTTATCCTATACAGTGAAAATGAAGCTTGGACTAAAAAGTTAGGAAACATTGTACAACTGCTTCAATAGAGTCAAAACCTCGAATGCTAGTGTGGGCCGAGCGAGGTGCGATGTATTTAACAAGCGCGAAAAAATGAGCTGCGCTATATCATGTGAAGGTAAAATGGAAAGCGGTTTGGCCGGCTCCCTGTTGGCTGAGCGGGTAGTATGCTTGCGTTGTACCTGAGCGGTCCCTGGTTCGTTCTCCAATTGGTTCGATGGATTCGCTGATGAAATCCAATCTGGTCCAAAAGACTGTACTGATCTTTCACTGCGCCCATTATTAATCTCTATTGGTGATTTATTAGCGCACTGACAACTCCCAACCTAACCGATTTCCCAGCGAGACAGAGACGCAAACCAGTCTGGTTTACATTGATTATCATTTAATTGCTTCCGTTCCTATCGCATTCCCTGTGTACATATGTGAATTTCCCAAGCCCCACTTCGATTTTTCCATCTGATGTTCCTCAGCGAATTTCGACAAGCGTTCCAGTGACTACTCGTGCGTTCGAATTCTATCGACCCTCGTTTTGTACTTCCTTTGGAATAAACGCGTGTGTACAATCCCGCGTGGAAGTCACGTGAACGTCCTACACACTGGCTCGGCCGTACTGCGCGTATCAACGGATGAGCGGGCTTGGGGCACAGACCGACTGTGCATGTGTATTTGTGTGGGTGGGTGTGACCTTAAATCATTCTCCCGGCTGTGTATGCGCGTGGGAGCGAGGACAAACCGTCGTCTAATTTGGGCCGATCCCATCAGAATGAGAACAGCTCACTCCCGGACTGCACGCGGCTGTCCGTGTCTCACTCTGTCGCGCGAGTTAGGGGAGAGCGGGAGAGTACGCCTGTGTGTGTGTGTGTGTGTGTGTGCGTGTGTAATTACGCGTATCCGTACGTCCGCTGGCATCACTATTGGTTTGTAGCTTACTCTGTCTGATTGCAAGCACACAGGCCTGGATCGACAATATCGTGTTTGCAACTCGTGCATTTCTGTTTCATGCGAACTGTTTTCATTCGCTTAAGGTGAGCATATGTTTTGGCAATTCAAAGCAAAAGTGGACGTCGACGTAATCATGAAAGCATGTGATCCACACATGTGAATTAAATAACACATACACATGCACAGATGAGATCCCGATGAACGAGAGCGCCACGCTAATTATGATTCATCATCCTGCCGATTTCTGTGTTTTTATTGACCAGGTCCTATTGCTCAGATTGTAATAATGAGTTCACGATTTAATCCGGTTGCCCTGCTAACCAGACGTAGATCAAAATCCAAATCCAAATCGCAAAGTGAATCCTCCACTGCGGCCGGAGTGACAACCCCGACGGGAAGTAGGCCCAGTCCACCGGAGTCCCAACAACCACTGGAGCCACGGGTGACCAGTAAACCAGCCAGAACATCTGCTCCAAGTGATACACCATCCTCGCCGAAGGTCCGATTTCGTGTCTTTGCCAGTCTCCGGCGTGCTCGAAGCCCTAGACGTCGCTCAGAAAAAGAAGCGTGCGAGACCACACGAGCAATCTCAGTCCCACCTAAGATTCGAACTGGCGAACAAACAGTACCAATCGATGTGCCTATTCCACCGTCCATACAGAAGCTGAACGATGAGATACAATCAAACGAGTCTGCTGCTCCTTTGGCTCAACATGATTGTTTTGAACTTACCGATGTATCTGACGCGGAACATGAAGATCTTCAGTCCAAGCGTCAACGTCTTACAACGGAACAATCAAACTCCATTGACTCGAAGGCATCTGCTACACACAGAATAGAATCCGCTCACATCAGTTCATCCACGGAGACTTTGGATAGCAGAGAGAACAAACATCCAGCATCATCATTCAGTAAAGAAGAACAACAGCAACAGCAGCAGCAACAACGACAACAACATGTGCAGCAAAACGAACCAGTATCATTGTCCAGATCTTCGACACAAAGTTTAGATGAGGAAAACGCTGCTGCAAGAACCTCTACTGATACAGAAGATGATATGGAAGATGAAGACACTTGGCAAACAGAAAGATTAAATCGAAGCGACACAGTAGACTCCGTCGAAGATTCCAGTGTAACTAAACTGTCTGTTGAATACGAAACGGAATATCCCGTATGTGAAAATACTGATAGCACACTATCACCCCCTCAGAGCCCGTTGGGCAAAGATTGGGCTGATTTACCCGATGATGGGCAACGCAATAGTTCAGATACGGATGACGCTTACGATGTTGGCGGACGTGTGTCGAACGGAAGTCCCTCTTTAAGTAATAAATCGTTTGAGGACGAGGAAGTTCAAGGGGATGGAACTGTAATCCATTCAGAGACGGAACCCACAACGGAACCATCTTACCCGTATGGATACGATCAAACGGTACGCGGTGGTCCACCAGAGACAGGTAAATGTGACGTTCAGGTCAATGTGATACCCGCCGATTCCGAATCGGACCAGTATCCGGACGAGGAAAGCGCACAACCACAAGTTGATGAGACAATCAAAACCGACTATGAACAGGACCAGACAGTGACCACAGATCAAGACGAATATATGGAACCGCAATTCGAAGTGGAACCCGATCCGGAACAGGATCCATTCTATGCGGCTGAGTTGGCTGCCACTGAATTGGACAATCAAGACGGCGTCCTTTCTGCTCCATCTATCATTGTCACATCCGCTTCGACTGGGAGCTTGCATTTAATAGCCGAATCCGAACCACCTCCACCAACCCCAGAACGTCCTCCTCCACCGGTTGCAGTTGCACAGCCCAGCCCTCCATCCGGATCCGAAGATACAGCCCCTAAAAGACCTCCACCTCCGCCAGTAGGTCCTCCATCCACAACCGGACCACCGCCACCGAGGCCACCACCATCAAGACCACCAGGTTCGCCAGCTCAAGAACAAACACCACAACATCAGAAGAAAAAGAAGCTGTTTGGAGTTGTGGATTTGGGTAAGTCTTTGTTCTGATTCAAATTCCCATCAAGTTGTGTGTGCATATACCTAGGAATTTTATTTTAGTGAAAATTCTGTTTCGCCGATATTAGCTGTTGCAAACTTGTTCATGGTAGTTGAAAATTACTCACAAAGATGTCGTCATAAAATAGACCCCAACAGTATAAGTATTGAATTTATTGGCAAATACACTGAGTCTTTTCGTAGTTAAAACACCCCGGAGCTGATTCATGTGTTTCACCCGCCATCTAATAATCCCAACAAAAAGAATAGAGGAACATGTACATCTTACACCTTGTGTATGTATGTACGTGTATGTGTTTCAGTTCATCCAGCTCTCTATGTGGCTTCTAATCCATCTGGCCACAGATGGACTTTTCCTGCGTGGCTCTGATGCACTCACATCTGTGTGTGATTCGGCATGCTCACTATTCCAACGCAATTTGTACACTTTATTCTGTACGGTTTCAATGGGGGTTCAGCTCCGAGCAGTCTGTGGTTCCCAGATGGCGATAAGTTGCAATCCCATCTTGATCAATAACGAAAGCTGGAGTGTAGTCCACATGGAGAAGACAAATGAGGTTCACTGTTCTCACTCATTTAGTCACTGAAATGACCGTAATAAGATGTCCCTCAGTAGTCCAGTTGTTCACTGTTTCATGTTAGTCACTTGGATTTGAGATTGCACTAACTGTTATGGAAATTTCACGATTCGGAACGGTGAATTTACTGGACCCATCAATTTATGGTTTGATCTAACGTGCGTGCCAGAGTAGTTGTTACACTTTGTAAGAGTGAGTCGGGAACGTAAATATTGAAAATTAATTTCTCACGTGATGCTATCATGTACAAGCGTTTCAGTTTTAATTCATTGATAACGAGTTAATCATTGCTAGAAATTGGACGTGAGTTGCAAGCTTTAACACTGCAATTTCTCGATCAGACTCATCAACACATGATCAACCGCTATTCCATCGCCCATAGCAGATGTTGCCTGACTTCACTTGTACAGAATTCGATTTCTTGACTACTATCCTAACAGTTATGACGCACTACAACTGAACGAGCATAGTCAAATAACTGCACATGTTATTTTCAATTTCTGTATGCGTAGAAACGATTAAAATGAATGTTGCAGTAAAAATATTTTCAATGGAATTATGCTTAGTTGTATTATAATAATAATAATAATAATAATAATAATAATAATAATAATAATAATAATAATAATAATAATAGAAAGATATGGCTCTCATCGGTATGACCGGTGATGCAACAGTTACACATTAGGGATTCCAGGTCTTTTATTGATATATATTAGTTGTTTACATTGCGTGATAAACTCTTCTCTAATCGTTTAATCGACTGCTACTCAAATATGAGGTCCCTGGAAGCTCTATTGACGGTGAATGTTTATATTAGCCCATTCGGTTTTGTTTTTCACAGGCACCAGGCAGTTGATAATCTTGGGTGTAGGTTTCATTGCTTGGGAGATCGTTAATTCCCCTTATTTGATCTGCTTACCTTTTTTAACTTTTGCGCAACAATATTTAGCATTTCGACTGTAGAGTGATTTACTTAATTTAAATATCTCCCTCTCCACGATTTCTTCGATTGGGGGAGTAAATTATTTGGGTAGTTGAACTCTTCCATCGAATGCTACCGGAATTCGGCAACATTATCAAAAACAAGAATAATAAATTACATCTTTATCAATACACCTTATGACACACTGATAGGCAGTGGAGTAATGCAGAACTTCTCAGTGTGTTTTGGTGAAATAATATGATCTTGTTTAACCATTTTCCACTTTGTGTTCTGCCTAAAGCTTCATAAACAATGACTCAATACAGACTATTTGAGTCTGCTCAGTGATCGGGTCGATACCGATGTTCACAATCTCATCTTAGAGCTTTCATTGTGACCCCTTGCTCGAAAGACGCGTTTCTACAAATGCCATCCCATTTCCATCCCGTTAAGAACACTGGCCTGTTTACGAGAAGCAGTCTTGTATCAAGAATGAACCGATTATACCTCTCTGGGTTAATATTTTCATATGCATGCAGTCCACATTAAGATTTCCGTTGGCTTCTCTTCTTCCAAATGCAATGTCCTTCGCACACCATGCACCCACCGATTAATAGACAATATTAGTGTTTACGCAATGGACTCCTAGATTAGCTTCGTTGTAAAGACAATGTTGGATCAGTTCGTTGCTAAGTTACTTGCACATAATACACAAATTCACGGGGTTTTCTATTTGATATTGGCATTCTTAACAGATCGCTCAATTTTACCGGTTATGTGAACAGCATTCGGTTTTTTACATGATTGGATTGAACCGAAGCTCCATTACTCTTCAACTGAAAGAGAGCGAGTTAGCTATTTGGGCAAGCTTCATCTCACCTGATGGTTGAACCCCTGACGAATGGTCATTAAGTCATCCACAGAAGGCTCGTTTGGCTTTTAATCGATTGCATCGTCACGACATCCGTTGATCGTACGCTCTGCCCATCCGTCGAATCCCCTCTTAACGGAGCACAAACATGGTCACTGTGGCATTTTACGGATCAGCGAAGGTAAAAGGGCGGAACATGTTAAAGATAACCCAATGTAACGTAATAACCGCATGCATCAACAGGTGTGCTTTGACAATCGTAAATTGTCATGACAGAAATATGTGCTGAGTACGTCACCAGATGCCGTTCTAAGCACCCCGAGGCATAAAGGGGTACGAGGATTGTTGGACATGATGTACATGAAGGAATAAAAGTCTTGATCGGCGCTATGGATTTCACGGAATATCGATTTGTCCCAATATTCATATTGAAGATGATATTTAACCACAGGAACATACTAAGTTGTAGAATATGGAATTCCTCGTTGCTATAGCCTGGAAAAACTGAACGCAAATGATGAGCTGTACAGTGTATGTATTGATCTCAACTATACATTAATCCACCAGTTCATGGGTAAACATTTCAATCTTTGTCGGTTCAGCAAAGACATGAGTGTTCTGACCGTATAAATCGATCAATCCCAGTTGTTCCAAAACCTCTCAGCTTGCGTAACTGAAAATATCTGACAAGCTGCGTCATGCGCAGAGCAAAGAGAACGTGGGATGAAAAGCGTTGTATTGCCATCTATTTCTACCTTGTTCGGGAAGCAAAACTGATTAAAGGAGACAACACTTTTGATTAACTGCAGATGGTAGTAGTAATATACTTACTTGAAAAATTCCGCGTACATCTCTAATTTTAGCTCGCACTCAAAAAGCTACAAATTATTTCCACTTCCACAGATCTACAATAATTGTCTAATTTTGAAGAAATCTAAATATGATTAAAGTCTTTCCTTTCAGTTTGATACATTGATACATTCAGTTCTCAAAATGAAACAGTTGTAACAGCAGTTTACCGACAATGAATCTGGTTAGTTTGCNTTTGCAAGCATCATGTACCCAAATTAGAAGATAAAGTTAATGGATGTCGATGAAACTGTGATGACTTTGTTCCTCAGAAAGCTCAGCATGCCCGAAGAATAGTGTGAAATTGGAACCTGTAAACTCTTGGAACACTAATATATTTAACTTCTGAACATTGCTTGTTCGGTATGTACACATTTAAGCTCAAGGACGACCAGATGACTTGTCGTCCTCAGCCTACAATGTCGGTCGACTTAACTGAGGAACATTGTCCCCACCCACCTCTTCCATCCATTACTTGTTCTACGTAATGGCTGGAATGTGGTTGACCTCTCTAGGTCATGACAT